GCAGTTCATTCAGCTCTACGGCCAAATGCTCGAGACATAGCTGTATCAAAAACCGCCGTCTTGCCTCATATTTCCTCACATGCTTCTCGAAATGATGTACAATTTTTTCGATATCCTCCGCAGTTTTAGCCCGTCGAAACTTGGCCTCTGCATATCTTGACCTCATACAGATACTCTTGAAGCTTCTCTCAAACAATGCGTCGATCCTGATTGCAGCCGCCTTTAGCACACGAAGGAGCCTGCGACAAAAATCGGAATCGAGGATGTCGGAATAAGAGGATGCACAAGCGGCAAGGTTTGTTCTCGTGTGGATTTTGCGATGTATGTACTGATTCATCAACTGCAGTCTCGCCTTTTGGAAGTTACCCTCCATTTCTGCGCGAGCAAGGAGGACATCTTGCGGGATATCGCCGGAGACAGGTGTCGCTGTGCTTTTCTTCTCGGATTTAGCCCGTAGAGGGAGATCGTAGCGCTTACTACTGGAGTCTGAGCTTCTGTCGCTTTTACCCAATCCGGTGCTGAGAGAAGAAGTCGTGAAGGATGTAGACGGTCGGCAGATTCTTTGTCTCAGTGAGTCCCCAATGCCCCGCACAGCAGATGGGAACATGTTTCAGGGGCAAGCGAAGCATAAGAAAGCGGACAATTGGCCCGGTCCAGGAAAGTACCCCTGAAATTCGAAGCAAAGAAACGAGCGTGCTTAAACGACTAGATAATGATACAAAGCTAACGATGCATGATAAATATGCAGTAGACATCAACTAAAACGAACGACTTTGCTTGTGATAATGAGGATTGTCGATGATGTTGAAAGACGAGATTGGTCTATCTGCATATATCCCTTCGGCTCAATGGACTGCGGCACTCGTGGAAGGAGTGCCTTTGACATGATGCCGTAAGAGTGTTATTGCCAACGGTATCCTGGATAGCATTTGGAAGGGGCAATTGGCGCAGCGCTGGTTCATCAGCGGGAAGCTCTTGCACAAATTGCACTCGTGGTGTGATATAGTGAGGATTTACCTTCGTCCTTTACCGAAAGACTCAATTCCACGTATATGTCCTACTAGGGCCGAGGAGTCTGACCCCAAACCGTAATCAATTCGCATAGGTTGAGCCTCAAAGCGTTCTTGAGATGCGGTCATCAAACCCCAAGATATAAGGAAGCAGTTATGGCCTTAGCCTGTCAGAGGAGCTCAACAGCCCGCTGATAGTGGGGTGAGAGATGCAACATACAGTAATAAGAATTAAAATGCTCCTTATAACGGATATGGTCTGCGGATAGGTACCAAGGTCAGAACCCATATCCAATTAAGCAGGATTACGGTGTCAAGAGCTAGCCAGCAGGCCTCCTGTGAAGACGTAGCACTGTCATGCTTGATTCAACTCGCGGTTGAGAGAGGAATGGAGATAACCTGTGAATGCTATCCTAAAAGCGAATAGATATTACATGGATCTTCTTGACAGCTCAGTAGCTGGATTTCGAAGCCACCGGCATGGATGAGCACGACTATGCGAGAGTTAGTGCGTAGCTCTTGATGTGCCTACTGATCGCGCATGGTTCTCAGTAGCCTGCGTTATTCAGAGAGCAGAGGAAGTGCTAATTGGCGCCGTGTTCTACGACTGACTGACACGATAAGGCCTTCCACCAAATTGCAATGCCGTGGTTGCTCGTGCCGACATCATTCACAAGGAACCTAATAACCCCAGCTCCTCATTTATGTACATTTAGACGATGCTAGTTGAGTTTTGAAGAGGTGGCATTCGCAGCCTGAGAACCGAACAAACTCCTGACTTTGCGTCTCACATGTTTATTCGACCTGCAACGATGTAGTGTGCTCCTTAACTTTCTTCGCTCCTGTTTTTGTTCCATCTCGTCGTTTTCCTTCGGATCACACAGTCTACACTCAGGCGTTTCTAATAGATACGTCATGGCGTCCATACTGCCCTTGAGGTCAGCGGCCGAAGGCGAATGAATCGCAGTACTATTGTCTCCGTCAGGGTTTGAATTTGCAGCACCAGATTTGCCCGCAGACTCAGGACCGCCCACCCTGAATGAGATGTCCACGAAGAGTGCTGCCAGCATTCTCCGATCGATAGCCTTGGCATCCAAATCATCAGGAAGGCAAGATCTTTCACAATCTGACTGGATATACGGCACCTCGCCACAGACAACAGGCTCTAATGTCCCTGGTATACGTTGTAGGTGAGAGAAGTAAGTTGCCAGATGACGCTCTAATGTCAGTGCTGCCAGCGGTATGTGAGCACTGAAGATTCGAATTGGATAGTTCAGAGGCTTCAGTATCATAACTTTGGAATTGAAATCTCGTGCGACATCGTGATCGTGCTCCAGACGGATGCATTTGGCCCACGTGGTATTGAGAAGACGACGAACGACCCAAACTTCACCGAAGTGGTGCCTCTCTTTCCCCGAGAAACTGGCATTGCCAACATGTATCACTCGTGAACCAGGAGTGAGCTCCGTAGACCTGTCAATGCTGGCGCAACACCAGACATTGTGAGGGTAAGACAATCCTTGAAAGTCCGATGCTTCTTTCAATCTGCTTTCCCAGTTGGCTCGAGAGGTCACTCGTTCAGGGCCATTCATCACGCTTGCGCTTGTGCCGCTCCTCTGCAAAAATGCCTTGAAGTCAGTCAACATCGCACTCCTCGGCTGCAAGTCAGGCATTGCCATTTTCCTCTGGACGGCTTCGTCACTGAGAACCATTGCGTCCGAGTCAAAGTTATGCGCATCCGTCCATTCAGCAAATTCATCTGGTGTCAATTGTACGCTTAGTCTTTCAGAAGAGCTGCCTTGTTCGGCAGCCTCAGGGGTCGATCCGTCAAGCACCTCAACCCGCCATACCGGTGGCCGGTGATGATACTCAGCCTGGCGCCTTCCTATGCATCGAAACTCCTCGTCTTCCTCTTCTTCTTCTGTCGTTGGGGAATCCTCCTTGGGAGGGGTCTCGGGAACCATGATCTCGCCATCAATGGAGGCACCAATATCTTCCGATGAGAGGAGCTGCCATTTAGTTTCAGAGGGGTGCCGTCTGTGCTGGTTCGTGCGCAACGGAGTACGCTGCTCGATCTTTACCATAGTGTGAGCTCCTTTTGAAGGAGAAAGAAAAGTACACTGGAGTTGATTGTCTGCTCTTCCGGACAAGTGTTATGAAGGGCCGCCTTCTGGGATAGCAAGCTTTTCAGTGCTAATCATTTCAGTTGCAATTGGCATAGATACCAGTTTCACCAATAACTTAGCCAATCCTCAGATCCCGATCTCTGTTATAAATTGAAATAAAGCCACCGTCGCTCTTTCCCGCCGGACTGCTCTTCCATGGCCTAGGCGAAGCAGTAATTACAGAATGATGTAGTAGGAACGCTGAATTGAATAGTTGCTCCTTCTACATTCCCGGCAGCTACACCAAATGTTCGCACGGTAGTAAGAGTAGTCCTGACTTCAAAAGGCGTTGGCGTGCCAAGTGGGCCTCTGCAAGGCATGTGTGTTTCCTGTCTCATTTCTTCGAAATGTTATGGCGTTTCAGTCACATGATGCCATTCGACCTAAATTGAATGCATGCATCTTCCGCCTCCTTGAAATATCTCAGATATGGACTTCTTTGCGATCTGTATGAAGATCGTTGGCAAGAGGCTGAAAGCGGCAACGAGCTCTGCCATCAAGCCACCAGCGCCGCTGAGCCCGATAATCGCAAACATTTTGAAGAATAACAGTGGACCTGCAGTTGGAGAGTCAGAATAGATACCTTAGTAAGAGGATGGCGGGATCAGCTTACAAACGGTGGCATTGCTTCAGGGACGACCCTGTCGGTAGTCGTTCAGCGGGTGTCAAAATGGAGGAAGGCTAGCTTTCCCTAAGCGGACCGCCTCATCGCGACTTGAATGAGAAAGCCAGATTTCTCTTCGTGAGCTTCAAATGATTCAAAAGATTCCGCAATCGCAATCAGAACGCATCAGGTCGACATATGGAGCAAAAGCGGCGAAACCAAGTGGGGGCGTTATACCCCACGGGGTATCATGTCCAAACCCTTGCATTGAGACGATGTTGTATCTATCATCCTGGGATGTCAACACCAATCGCCACTCATTCAGGGGTTCACACCATATTGCTGAGGCTTGTTTGAAAAAGGCCTCCGGCGACGCAGATGCTCTCGCATTGCGGCGAGACATTACGTCAGCTGACAGAAGACGATATCCGGTTTTAGCAACGTAGTCAAGAATGGTTGTTCGACAGGGAGAGAGGATAACAGCTCATTCGTAACCAATGCACTAATTGTAGTGATAATCCGCCTCAGGCAAACCCAGCGGGCAAGCATTTCAGATATTTCGGGTTGACGCTTGTGAATCGACTTCGTCAGGGAATTGTTGAAAAGCAGTTATCAGGCAGCACCGCCTTGACGGTACGAGCATTATATTGCATATAGAAAGGTCTATTTCTCACATCGGCGTTCGAGACGTAGCGACTTTCTCGCATATAGCAAAAGTCGCTGTACTCTCCATCTCCAACATTCAACAGACCTTCTTGATCCATGCCCGACATTCAACAGAGTCTAAAAAGAGCGTTACTTGAGCACGCCAGCCTCTCGTCATCGTCCATGAAGCGGACGCATGCCAGCTGCCAGGGCTGCCAGACTAATCTTGGACCCATTGATGCCAAAGAGATCGAACCTTCCGGCTTGGGGATGCAGGGAATATTAGCTCTCTCTTTCGCTGTATATAACTGAGCGGCGCATTTCATTCTGGGAGTCGGCAACGTTTGAAGATGCGCAGCGTTCCCCTTCCAAGTGATTATTGAGACATGGCTTCAAATTGCGCCTGCTTCAACCAGAACCTTTGAGATTGAGTGTCAGGCCCTCATTCAGACCAGCGGTTAATTACAAGCACGTATATTGTTTGCAACAGTAGCACTATGTTTAAACAACGCAGCTCGCGACTCAAGCCAACAAGGGAGTGACGCCATTGGCTAAGAGAACCGAAAAAAGGAAAACTGCCCACACTCGGGATCGAACCGAGGACCTCATCATTACCATCATGGACTAAAGTACGAGTGATGCGCTCTACCACTGAGCTATACGGGCTACATTTTTTTCCTTAACATTTGGATCTCTGTCATACTTGTGATTACCTAGTGTCACCATACAGGTCGCAAGGAGTTAGTACTCGTTTCACCCTGACGATGTTCATAGAGCTATCCACCCTCCCAGAATGATAGCAGCTCGTTCAGGCCAGCCATGCCAATATGGCAAAGTCTCAAGGCAACGCTAGTAACTTCATAGCTTCGAGGCTCTCCAAATCCTTTCCGGTATTCAAGAGAATCTCTCACTGCCGCCATATGCCGCCTGAGTATCGTCATAGTCCAGGTCCAATGTCTGGAGTGAAGATTAGAGCGATGCACTGATTCATCTTCACGAGGTAGGGAAATATTTGCAAATAGTGCGCAAGCCGTGTTGTCTGCGGCACGATGCTGAATGCCCACTGGAAGCGGGGGAGGGTACCTCTGTAAGCCATAAAAGCGTTGCATGCCCACAATCGGCCTAGTGCACCATCTCACAGTGATTAAATGGCGACCATTGAGGGCAACTAGTAGACAGAGCAAGTGTTGCGGCCTCAATCAGTTTTAAGCTACTAGTTTGGACGGACTCTCAGCTAGCGCAATCAGTCGTTCTTTCCACTGGCAACCGCACATTTGCCCATGTCGCTTAGCGAAGATGTGTTAGTAGGTCGAGAGACAACGATTTCAACAGCCAGTACATGACGTGCTGAATTTGCGAGTCTCTGAGCAAGCATGACCAATGCGCCATCTGCTATTGGTTCCACTGCGTGCAGACTTGGAGACATTGAAGGCAGTGACGGCGTATCGCTTCAAGTTGTTGCCTCTTTCCTGACAAATTCTGTGACGACCTCTCATACGATATGAGCACATCTTCGACTCATACAATTGCCACAGTCTTTATGGCACGTGCTATGAGCCATGGCAGGCATTCTACATGCGCTGTGCGGTGCTTGCGTGCTGGTGACTGTCAAAATCCCAAAGGCACGCGTCTTAGGGGCCGTGGCCAACGCCGTCGACTTAACGCCGCTGTTATGATTGTTGCCGAATACTGAACCGTGGGTAGGTATCATAGTGCCGAAGCAAGTTCCAAAAAGACCGATTACGATCGCCAAAAAAGGCATGATGAAAGCCTCAAAAGCTGCCATGCATGGTCGTACTGGAGGAAGAAAGGTGCAGATTCACCCATTGGCTTATAGAATCGTCCCTTTAACTTCCGTCATGCGCTTTAGGAGAGAGAATTCAACATCATGCATGAAAGGGGCGGTCCGAAGTCAATATAAACAGAATGTAGGTAGGTTCTATGGTTATTAATTGTAAGTCATAGTTTTGTACGATGTTTCCTACCGCGGAAAAGGAAGAAGAAAAGTAGGAAGGAAGATCGCATCTGCCAAGTGAAGGACAGAAGTCTGACTTCAACACCTATTGCGGAAGGTACCTTCAACGTCAGAAGGGAATCTTCACCGGCCAAGCACAACGTTCTTCATGACCTAGGAAAGCCGCGATATTTACCATTGTTGACCTGAATTCGAGGGTCAGAACCAAACTAGACCTGCGATACCATGAAGCGATCCATACGACAGGAGGGGATAAGCAAAAGCACTGTTGGACAGAAAAAGATCTCTGAATTAGGTGGAAAAATAGCAAAGCGTAGGGCGGTTTTATAAGCCGAGTAGCTTAATAAAGTGACGATTTGGCGATCTGAAACAACCAAACAACATCGGAAAAACAGTTGCCTTGCTGCTCCGGTTTCTTGACAAGTCTGACCTCACGTAAATCATCTTCGTCAAATGGCGACGATACGGATTGGTTATCACTGGCGTCCTCAGTACTTTCGGCAAGGTTATAGTCCGATGTCTGATCATCAGTCGAGTCATGACGGGATGCGTTTATCGCAGGAGGAGAAACAAAGCGAGGAATTGACTTCGCCTCCGCCTCCGGTGATTTAGGTATCTCCGGAGGAGACTCGTCGTCTTCAGACCCGAATATAATCGATTGGACAACTCGGTCAAGCCAGTTACCAAGACCAAACCCGCGGAACCTGTTCAGATCTCGGATATTGATGTTCTCGAGTTCTTCAATTGCAGTATCTGTCTCTATCGCCAGACCGTTGCTGCCTTCGTAGAGATGTTCGGACTCAAAGGCGGACCATACAGAGATTGAAGTCCGCCGCGAATCGCTCAAATCGCCTGTATCGTCTGTCAACTCATCTTGAGCTAAGGCATGCAAATGAGTCATTGACAAGTGATTCCTATTAATGGCAGCTCTTGAACCATGTCGTGACCTTGCATAAGCAGGCGTCGAGACACCCGATCTAGAGCGGCCACGACTGGCACTCCGCGAAGGATAAGCTGACGCAGATCGGCGTTGTTGATGCTGTTGAATTTCGGCGTCAAGACGCAGACTTGTCGAGCTCTGACGTTTGACTAGCCAGCTTTGACCCTTATCCTTGCGTGCGGATGTCGAAAAAGCAGAGCCTGCGCGTAGCAGCCATTCATTATCTTGATCCTGTTGGTGTGGCTGCTCTCTTGAGCTTGAAACGTGAGGCTGAGCGGTCGACCGCCGATGATGATGAGGTCGACCATGCCTTACTGCGTGCTCTTCTTCTAAGTGACGGGGGTTGGTGTTACTTCGAGCTTGTGCATTGATGCAGCCATTTGGGATGCTGAAAAAGGAATTTCGGGACTCAGAAAGAATGGAAGGCGTATTGGGTACCGAAAAGCTACTTGATAGACAATTTGCAGCAGCGGCATAGTTGCCATCATAGGTGATATTACTGCTGAAGCTTTCTTCGGTGCCAGAAGATATGCAGTGAAGGCGGTTCAATTGCAGACCATGGAGGGATGGAGAGTGACGACACGGCCGGTGAGCGGAATGCTGACCTTAATGATTAGCCGATTGGCTCTGAAACTGCTGATTCAAGATCCTGTTACTTACCTCCATTATGGACAGCAAATATGACGATATAGATAGATGTTGATATTGGACGGCGAGCAGAGGAACGGATGCATGGTTTGCAATCAATTCAGGCCAAACCACATGTTCATCTCAACCCCAAGTGCAGCAGCATGAACTATAAAGCAATAACTCCAAGCTGATTGCCGAGGTCAAGTATCTACCTTTCCTGGATGATTTTTTATGCATCATTTGCCAGCGCAGATTCAGACACTTTTGTAATCATGAGTTTGACGACGATGAACTGGGTACTTAACGACCATATCTGGCTGGCACCATCGTGATATATCGATAATCATATATATAAATAATCGACCTCCCCTATGAATTTCTGGGTGTACATGTTGCTTGCCGTGCTGCCTCCGCCCAATCGTAGACTCGTCCAACACGTGCAATTCTCCACCGACGTAAGGATGAATGGATGGATGATGATGGTCGGCAAGGGACCGTTTCAGGTCAATCAAGACCGAACAAACGCAGAACGACCTGACAAGCGAAATCGCGAGCGCGCATTGAATTCTTTCCCTTTCTAGTCAATAAAAGGAATTTCCATTCATTGAATTAATTGATAGACGCCATCTGGCTATAAACATCACCGGCAACATGGGTCACGCAAATAGTCTGTCCTCTCACCTTCCTCTCCACGTCTCCAGCGACCAATTGCGCGCACTAGAGTGATCAATGAAATTGGACCTGTTTGTTGAGCTACTTATGCTGACTTTGATAATCCGACCATAGACGTCTCCTTTGATCCTGCTTTGCAGAAGTATTATGGTTCGTGCAGCCCACACTGTCCGGTCGAGTCGGATCAAGTCGTGTCGATGGATGAAGACGGGGAGCAAAATGAGTGGAGGAAAAGGCAGAGGAGTGAAGAAGGGAAAAGGAAAGACACAGAGAGAGGTAGAGAGAGAGAGAGAGAGAGAGCAATTGTTGACAGTCCTATTACCCAATCCATGCAGAATTGAACGTCAACCGTGTCAAGTATTTCAAATGGACACCACGCACTGCCTGGATTACTTTTGTGTACGCTGCCGTCATTCCCGGCGCACTGGGCTTCGTCGCGTACAAGATGGACGTGAGTTATCGCATTCAAAGCTGCAGACCGATTATTTGGATCGGCTAGAGGCATTTTATCGCTGATTTGTGGTGTTGCAGGGCAAATATGAATTCCGTGGAAAGCGGAGGGGAGATACTCTTGCCGAGTTCTAGACAATTTGACTTGAAGTACGACGTGTTGCAAATGAGAGGACTGATGGGATTGTATGTATATACGAGAGGTCGAAATTGATACCAATTGTTAGGATTGAATGATAGAGGAGGTGGCAATACCGTGCACACCGATTTACCTCATGAGATCGTCGTACAAACTGCCCCCAGCCATGGGCATTCGACTGAGACGGCCTGCCGCCGTTGACAAGACATTTCTTACTGGGCATCCCGAGTCGGCGGAGGACCGAACAGCGCACCCTTACTTGGTGTCACCTAAGGATTTCAGGACAACCCGGCGCAACAGCCGTCTCATGATTAATATCTTCCGCCTCTTCTCCTTCCACCACCATTGCCATTCAAACCACCTCCATATCCGCCATATCTTGAATCAGGGACTCTTTCTCCTCTCCTCCAATCGCCACTAGGAATCCCTGCTCCTGGAGGTC